GGTACAGGAATCTCGGTAGGAGATTCATTTTTATGCAGGCCACTCTCCCCAGCCAGGAGATAGAGTAAGCTTCCCATATCTTGAGGTCTGCAGCTGCTTTTTGTAGTAGGGGGGTGTAGTTTAGGTGATAGGTTTGGGTGACATCTGCCGGAAGGTTGACCCCGAGGTAATGTATATGTGATGAGGTAAAGTGGAAGGGGTAGCTCGCCTTCAGGTGGGCCAGCTCGCTTGCTTGGATCTGGACTGGTAGGGCCTCTGTTTTGTCTAGGTTGAGGCGGTAGCCTGAGACTTTAGAGTATTCGTCCAGGGCATGGAGTAGTGGTGGGAGAGAATGCGTTGGGTCAGTGAGAGTTAAGAGGAGATCATCGGCATATCCCGCAACCTTGTATTCCTCTCCTCTAACCTGAATGCCCGTGATTGCGGGGTCAAGCCTTAGGGCTTGGAGGAGGGGTTCCAGTGAGAGGGCGAACAGTAGTGGGGAAAGGGGGCATCCCTGCCTGGTTCCGTTGAAGATGCGGAAGGAGGGGGGTTGTGTGTTGGGGATGAGAAGGTTTGCCTCTGGTGAGGAATATAACGTTTGTAGCGCGTTTAGGATCGTGTGAGGTACCTGGAATTTATGGAGGGTAGCAAATAGGAAAGGCCAAAGGAGTCGGTCAAAGGCCTTTTCAGCGTCTATGGAGAGAAAGAGGGCGGGGATGTGTCGGTGTGTGGCGGTCCAGAGGAGGTCAAAAGTCCGTCGTGTGTTGTCGTATGCTTGTCTGTAGGGTATGAAGCCAACCTGGTCGGGATGAATGAGTTTATGTATATATGGGTTTAGTCTGTCTGCGAGTATCTTCGTGAGTAGTTTAACGTCTACGTTCAGTAGGGAGATTGGTCTGTAGTGGCTTGGGTCCGTGTGAGATTTGCCCGGTTTTGGAAGTAGGCATATGTTCGCTCGGAGCATGTCTGGTGGTAGTGGGTTCCCCTGTAGCACGGAATTAAAGAGAGAGCATAGGTGCGGGATGAGTGTGGCGGGAAAAGTTTTGTAGTAAAGGCCCGAGAAGCCATCTGGTCCGGGGCTTTTGTTAGGTTTTGTGTTTTTGATGGCTTTGGCCACTTCTTCTATGGTGACAGGTTCGTTTAATGTGGCTATTGCTTCTGGTTTTAGTGCTGGTAATGGTATTTTTTGTAGGTAGGTGTTTATGGACCCTAGTGTTATGTCCGGATGTTGTCTCGTGGCGGGGCTGTGGTCGTATAGCGCTGCGAAATACGTTTGAAAGACCTCTCCTATTTTCGATGGGAGGGAGTGAGTGGCTCCGTCTGGGGTTTGTATTTTGTCTATTTTCTTTTGTTCGGCCCTATGTTTAAGTTTTCGAGCTAGTAAAGTATCTGCTTTGTTGGATTTTTCGTAGTATGTTTGTTTTGACCATTGTAGTGCTTTGGCTGAGTCTCTGGCCATGAAATCTTTGATTTTGGTGCGGCATTCTGTCAGTTTGGTGAGGATGTCAGGGGTGGGAGTTTTTTTATGTTGGGTTTCTAAGTTCCTAAGTGCTTCAAGGGAGTTTGCCAGGTCCGCCAGTTGGGATTTCTTGTGCGGTGATGCTAGGCTAATTAGTTTTCCCCTGATGACCGCTTTGTGGGCTGCCCACAATGTTCCCGGTGAGGACGTTGATGGTGTATTAATGGTGAAGTAGTCTGATAGGTCCTTCTGTATGGTGTCTCTCAGAGGGGGGTTGTGGAGCAGGGTCGGGTTAAGTCTCCAGGTCCAGGGGCGTGCTACATTTGGAATTTTGATTGCTAGAGTGATTTCTGCGTGGTCCGACCAGGATATGTTGCCTATGGTGGCTGTGTGTACCGTGTGTAGGAGGGAGGGGGAGATCAAAAAGAGGTCTATGCGCGAGTAAGAGTTATGTGGGTGTGAGAAAAATGTGAAGTCGCGTTTGGCCGGATGTAATGTTCGCCATACATCTACTAATTGTAGCTGGAGGGCAAATGATTGTAGCAATTTGTCCAATTTGGTAGTGGGGGTTGGGTTTTGTCTGCCTCGGCGTGTGCTGTGCCTGTCCACTGCTGTCGACATAGTGGCGTTGCAGTCTCCACCAATGATTTTATGGTGCCCCGGGGCCATGGTCAGGTGTGCCTGTAGTGTATCCCAGAATGATGCGTCCGGGGTGTTTGGAGCATATAGTGTTGTGATGGCATATTTGTTTGGGCCAGCCTGACCTGTGAGTGTCAGGAACCGACCCTGGGGGTCTTTTATAACTTGTCTCACATTTAGAGGGCAAGTCTTGCGTAGTAGTATGGCCACTCCATTCTGTTTGGTGTTGGGGGAATTAGCAGTGTAGCACCCTCTGTAGTGCCGGCTGGTAAGGGGGAAGGGTTTGGTCTGGGTGAAATGTGTTTCTTGTAAAAGTAGTATGTCCGCTCCCGTGCGGTTCGCCCATCTCATGAGCCGATGTCTCTTTGCTGGGTTGTTAAGGCCTTTGCAATTTATTGAGATACAGGTGAGTTTGGTGGTCATTGTGTCAGCAGGATCCCTCCGGGGGTGGTTGTGTCCGGGGGGTGTGACGTTCGAGCTGGTGCGGTGCGCCTGGGTGTGGGGTGGGGTACTGTGGGAGGGGGGGTGGGTTGGGGGGGGAGGGCTAGCCCTGTGTGCTTGTTGTTGCGAAGCCTAGTTTCTAGGGCGTTGTGCCCCAGTAGGGTAATGTGCCTATATGGGGGGAGGGTGGGAGGGGTATGCCTGGTCTGATACCGAGGTTGCCAGGAGTATTAGGGGCGGAGATGGGGGGGTTTGGTTGTCTGTACCTGGTACAGGTCCTAACCGTTTCCCTCCGTACCACCGCTGTGGAGCGGTGGGAGCTTAGGGGTGTGTTGGTTGGTAAGTAGTGGTGGTGAGGTGGTGTGGGTTAAGTAAAAAGTGTCGAGAGGGGTATCACTTTTCGCTTCCCGTCACTTCAGAGTGTTGTGGTATTTACCTTCCATGTTGTCTGTTTGTCAGGTTGTCCCTATTCGTCGGGAGGGGGTTCAGGTGGAATCACCTCGTAATGTGGCAGAGCTTTTGGTTTCCTGTAATGATATCAATGACATGAATCAGTACTAGTCCTTGTGTCGCTTGCTGGGTATCTCTGGTCCTGCCTGCCTGGCGCGGTGAAAGTTAGCGTAGGGCCACCTTCCTTATTATGTGGTGCGAGTTGCGGGTCTAGCAGTTAGATGTGCGTGAGTGTCATGTAGTTTGGCCCTCGCGTGTCTGTCGTGCACTGGTTTCCTTTCGAGTGTGCCGCATGTTTGGGGTGGGGCTCCTTCTCGTCCCTGGGGTTCGTTATGGTTTGGTTTGTTAGTCCCTAGAACCTAGAACCTCCCTGTGGTGGCGTCTTCAGGGGTTCCTAAGGACTCTGATGTCCTGTGTCTGTGCTGGTGTTTTGAGGTTTTGGTGTTTTTCAGTCTGTGGTCGTCATGCATACTTTTAGGCATATTAGTGAACAACATTTATATGTTCTGATAGACAGTACATTATAGGTATACAGATCAGACCGGACCTTGCTTAGGATCCCCGGGCCTATCTACTGATATTCGAGGAGATGTGTGTTGAGGACCCTAGGGGGTGGGCCCTGTCAAGGAGGCGGTCCCGAGCAGGTCTGGAAGTTTAGTTGCGTGCTAAATATTACGATTGAACATAATCAACACTAATAAAATAAGCTAAGGACCCAGGGGGTATACATGGAGAGTAGGCTAGATGCTCTGGTTCCCATGTTAAGGCGCTCGTGTTACGTCGCCCAGGTAGTGCCTTAGGCTTGGTACTGGGTTATAGGAGGTTCTTGTATGCGCTGTTGTCCTCAGGGGCGTGGGTCGGTAGTTAGGGACTGCCAGTATAGTGGTGTGCACTGTCGTGCACTGGTTTCCTTTCGAGTGTGCCGCATGTTTGGGGTGGGGCTCCTTCTCGTCCCTGGGGTTCGTTATGGTTTGGTTTGTTAGTCCCTAGAACCTAGAACCTCCCTGTGGTGGCGTCTTCAGGGGTTCCTAAGGACTCTGATGTCCTGTGTCTGTGCTGGTGTTTTGAGGTTTTGGTGTTTTTCAGTCTGTGGTCGTCATGCATACTTTTAGGCATATTAGTGAACAACATTTATATGTTCTGATAGACAGTACATTATAGGTATACAGATCAGACCGGACCTTGCTTAGGATCCCCGGGCCTATCTACTGATATTCGAGGAGATGTGTGTTGAGGACCCTAGGGGTGGGCCCTGTCAAGGAGGCGGTCCCGAGCAGGTCTGGAAGTTTAGTTGCGTGCTAAATATTACGATTGAACATAATCAACACTAATAAAGTAAGCTAAGGACCCAGGGGGTATACATGGAGAGTAGGCTAGATGCTCTGGTTCCCATGTTAAGGCGCTCGTGTTACGTCGCCCAGGTAGTGCCTTAGGCTTGGTACTGGGTTATAGGAGGTTCTTGTATGCGCCGTTGTCCTCAGGGGCGTGGGTCGGTAGTTAGGGACTGCCAGTATAGTGGTGTGGGCCACCGTTAACGGTAGCAAAAGGTCCCTGTGCACCAGGGGTGCCTGCGTAGGGTCCTATTCCCTCAACCCCTGGCTATCGCTGTTGTTAACCTTACATTGGTCCCAGAGAGTTCGTTGGACAGTGCTGTGGTGACTCCTCGGTGGGGAGGGAAGAAGGAGTATAATGCCAGGCACTCTTTTATTAATGGTGGGAGCCGCCAACTCTGGGTGCTATGTGGCTGTCCCCCAAGTGGGGAGAAGGGCTATGAAGTGGGCGCATTGATAGGGGTGTTCTGGTTAGTTATAGTTTATCTATGTTTCGGCTGTGTCATGTGTGCCTGTCTGCTCCGGCTCGTGGCCCCAGTTACAGCAATATACATGTGACAATACAGTTTATGTAGGTAGAAAAGAGAAAAGAAACATAACATAATGTGGCATGCAGTAACTCAGAAGTGAACATATAGAACCTGTCAGGGCGGCCAGCTTGTTTCCCCGTTTGGGGGACCTGGTATCAGCAGGTATATTGTTCATCGTGGAGTGGCTGCTTCTGCCTGTGGAAGGGGCCGCTTCTTGGCTGGGTTCCTGGGTGGTTGTGCTGCGTTGAGGGTTTCTTTCGGTGCAGTGTTGCTCCGGTCAGCTGTCGACGTCCCGGTGAGGAGTTGGAGGCCTAGTGCTGCGGCGAAGTCCTCCATTTCCGCGGGGTGATGCAGGACGCGGTCTTGGTCTCCGAATCGCACCTGCAGCTTAAAGGGGTGGCCCCATCTATATTTGATTCCTTTTTTGGTGAGAGCCATTGTTAGGGGCTTGAGGTCTCTCCTTTTTTTAAGGGTGGACGGCGCCAAGTCTTGGAAAAAGGCCAATGTATAGGCCCCAAGTTTTGGCAGTGAGGCCCTGGTGGCGGCCATTATCTTTTCCTTTGTGGCAAAGTGTGACATACGGACTATGATGTCCCTGGGTGAGGTGGGGTTGAGTGCCAGAGGCCGCAGCGCCCTGTGGGCCCGATCTATTTCGCGCTCCCATTCTGTGGAGTCAGGGAGTATGGCGTGGAAGAGGTCGCGGAGCGTGGGCAAGATGGCGTCGGCCTCTATTGCTTCCGGCAGGCACCTTATCCTGATATTATTTCTGCGGGAGCGGTTATTGAGGTCTTCTAAACTATCCTCCAGGTATTGAATTTTGTCGCTTAAGTAGTATATGTCTTGTCCGTGTTGGGAGTAGGCTGTTTGAAGATGTGTAATGTCCGTTTCTGCCTGCGTGGTGCGGGTGTTGAGGGCCTCCAAATCTTCTTTGATGCCCGAGATGTGCCGCTCTAATTCTGCCGCTGTGTGGGCCTTGATGTCGGCTGTAGCCTCTTGTAGCATGCTGCGGAGGTCCACCTTTGTGAGGGGTTTCTGCCTGTTTGTGGTTGCATCGGGTTCCGAATCCAAGCCCGAGTCGCGGGTATATGGTGTGTCCTGGCTTAAAGATGGCCGCGGGAGGTCTTTGGCCGCGTGGAACATTGAGGCCACTGAGGTTGGTTGTTCCTTTCATTTTTTATTGCCTCCCATGGGCATTTCAATCGGGTGGCTATGTAGATAACGGGTAGCCTGTTTGTAGGGCTGGATGCCTGGGGAAAGTTGCTGATGTTAGCAGATGGTCACTCTTAGACGGGGGAGCTCCGAGTTTACACATCCTGCTCCATTGATGTCCAGGCTCCGCCCCCCATGGTAGGTGTATTTTAACAGTGAGAGACAGAATAACAAAAAAAAATTAAAAAAATTCCAGAAAAACACATGTCAAAAAAGTAATACATTGATTTGCATGTCCATGAGTGAAATAAGTATTTGACCCCTTCGACTTAGTACTTGATGGCAAACACAGAGATCAGATGTTTCTTGTGGTTGGCCACCAGGTTTGCACACATCTCAGGAGGAATTTTGTCACACTCCTCTTTGCAGATCCTCTCAAGTCATTAAAGTTTCAAGGCTGATGTTTGGCAACTCAAACCTTCGGCTCCCTCCACAGATTTTCTTTGGGATTAAAGTCTGGAGACTCCAGGACCCTAATGTGCTTTTTCTTGAGCCAGTCCTTTGTTGCCTTGTCTATGTGTTTTGGGTCATTGTCATGCTGGAATACCCATACATGAAACATTTTCAAGGCCCTGGCTGAGGGAAGGAGGGTCTCACTCAAAATTTGACGGTACATTTTTGATGGTGGGGATGGTGTATCATCCTTTTGATGCGGTGCTGTTGTCCTGTCCCCTTAGCAGAAAAACACCCCCAACGCATAACCATCATTTTTGATGGTGGGGATGGTGTTCTTGGGGTCATAGGCAGCATTCCTCCTCCTCCAAACACAGCAAGTTGAGTTGATGCCAAAGAGCTCGATTTTGGTCTCATTTGACCACAACACTTCCACTTAGCTCTCCTCTGAATCATTTAGATGATCACTGGCAAACTTTAAACAGGCCTGTACATGTGCTTTCTTGAGCAGGGGGATCTTGCTGGCACTGCAAAATCTCAGTCCTTCACAGTGTAGTATGTTACAAAATGTTTTCTTGGTGACTATGGTCCCAGCTGCCTTGAAATCATTAAAGGGACACTCCAGTGCCAGGAAAACAAACCATTTTCCTGGGACTGCAGGTCCCCTCTCCCTCCCACCCCCCATCCCAGGTTGCTGAAGGGGTTTAATCCCCTTCAGTGACTTACTGGAGTCCAGCGCCGGTGTACCTCTGCGCTGGCCGAGGTTCCTCCCACGCTCCTCCCCCCGCTGATGTCATCCGGCGGGGGAGACGGATTGTGCATGAGCAGCCGCCGGCGGGGTGAGACCTAATGCGCATGCGCAGCAATGACGCGCACACGCATTAGACCTCCCCATACGAAAGCATTGAAAAATGCTTTCAATGCTTCCCTATGGGGATTTTAGCGATGCTGGAGGTTCTCACATTGCGTGAGGATGTCCAGCGACGCTATAGCACAGAAAATCTGTGCTATGAACCAGGAAGTGCCCTCGAGTGGCTGTCTAGTAGACAGCCACTAGAGGAGGAGTTAACCCTGCAAGGTAAATATTGCAGTTTATGAAAACTGCAATATTTACAGTTGCAGGGTTAAGGGTAGTGGGAGTTGGCACCCAGCCCACTCCAAAGGGCAGCAATGGTCTAGGTGCCTGGAGTGTCCTTTTAACAAGATCCTCCTGTGTAGCTCTGGGCTGATTCCTCACCGTTCATTGAAACTCCATGAGGTGAGATCTTGCATGGAACACCAGACCGAGGAAGACTGACAGTTATTTTGGGTTTCCATTTGCAAATAATCGCGCCAACTGTTGTCACCTTCTCACCAAGCTGCTTGGTGATGGTCTTGTGTAGGTCTACAATCTTGTCCATGACATCCTTGGACAGTTCTTTGATCTTGGCCACGGTGGAGAGTTTGAAATCGGATGCATTGATTCTGTGGACAGGTGTCTTTTATACAGGTAACAGGCTGAGATTAGGAGCACTCCCCTTTAGAGATTAATGCAATACCATTTATTAAATATTTAATAGTTATTTTTTTAATATCCTATGGAGCAATTTTGATTTTAGATTGTTAACTCGTTTGGGCAGGGCCCCTTTCACCTGCTATTCTCGTATGTCAAACATGTTTTTTTAGAATTGTTTGTCCTGTTTGATCTAATGTACAATGTCAAGGACTATGCTGGTGGCATACTGTATAAATATTTGTAATTGATTTAGGTTTTGTATTGTTGTTGCAGCTGAGTTACACCAGTGAAGACAAAATAGGATTAATAGTCATCAGGTGCTTAATATGTCCAGCTGTTCGATCCCTATTCCCTTTTCCTTTAAGAAATTTTGACTTGTAACCTTTTTCCGCTTCTCACAAACTGAGAATCAGTGTGGAAAAATTGTAACTCGTTATATGAAAATGAACATGATTGTGACCTGGTGAATTTCATTATCATTTTTATTTTAATTTATTATACAAGGCACCAACATATTCCCCAGTGCTGTACAAATGGAAACCAGAGAATTATAATGAAGGTGAAACAAATTACACTCATATTGAAATATTTTCATCCTGAATATATTCATTTCAACAGCGGTTTTCCAAAAGCAAATATAATAGGTTTATTTGACATACATTGTATTCTATATGAAGTTTTCAATGGTAATGTAGCACAATTATCCACAGCAGAATTTACCCAATTTACCATGAAATGGAATTTTAGTCACACAACCTCTAGTTCAAATTACATTTAATCAAACGGATGTGTTGGATGTTCTGTCTAGACAGTAAATAACTTTATAACAAAGAAAACTCAATATGAGCTTGATTTGCATAGAGCGGTTCTTGTCAAACGAAGCACACCATAATACATTGGTTTGTCTCCACTGTACTGATAACTTTCCTATTCATTGCAGAGGTCTGTGAACTTCTTTTTCCCATGATGCTCTGCCAGTTGAAACTTTTCTGGCATGAAATGCCCTCTAAAAGAACAACAAGGTACCATCACATTGAGACACATTTAAAACAGATTAATTCAATTACAAAAATGAGTATATGTCCCCCAGAGACACACAATAGCTTCTCCCTAAACCCCAGGCTTTCTGCAATATTAGGAGATGCTACCCTCCCAAAAATCCTGATATTATTAGTGATTACTCATGAGCTAGGTCCAAATTTGGGCACAAGTTACCCCTTATACCTAAGATCCCGTTAAGGGAAGTACTCTGTGGGTATTGAAATTCAGCCAAATGGACCTTCCTGCTCTTGGGTAGTAGGCATCTTGGAGACATCTCTTTAGTTTAAGCAGGTCATGCTTGTTTAGTGTGGCTTTGTTAAATCTTTAACTGCCTACCCTATAGCTGAAATGCCATCACTTATATTGGATTTTATATGTGTTTGTTTAACCATGTTTTTGCAAAAACACTATTTCAATGAATTAGTTGGTCAGCCCTTTTGTTTGGAGTTCAGAATAATTCATATTTGAAAAATTATTTATGAGATAAAAACATTTTCTAATTGGTGCAAATTGTATCATAATTTGGATAACAATGTTAAATAGGCCAGACTGAAATAGACAGGGTGAAAAATAAATGATATGTCAACAGGAATTTCTGGCAATGCACTTTTTGTTAATAAAAATGAATTATAACAAGCCAAAATATTTTATTGTTAGAATTTGTCTCATCTGGGTGATGTCGATAGGCAGATTTAATGTTACCTTAAAGGAAAATAATAGTGTCATGAACACAAACATGTATTCCGGACACTATAGTGTTTAACTAACTATTTAGGTCACCGGGCCCCCTTAGATCTCAGTAAAAAGGTGTTTAAACTCACCTTTTTTCCCATGCAACGCAGGTCTCACAACAACTGGCTCTGCCTCCATGGCTGAGATCATCAAACTTGATGATCTCAGCCAATCCAATACTTTCCCATAGGAAGGCATTTGTTTTAAATATGTTTATTGTCGGCAATATAAGCACGGGTGTTGAACTTGGTATCATTCATGCATATAGTTGCCTACGCAGAGGCGTGCACATTGAAAGTGTATATAATGTGAGGCCGACATATTCCAGTTAACTCAGAGTAACACATAGTTGCCTGCGCAGAGGCGTATAAGTCAATATAAACATGCAATGACAAATATTAGACATTTATAAGCCTTGCAGGGCTAGACATGCAAAAGGTGGTGAGCTTGCTTGGTATTGCGTTGTTAGGGCGTTTTCGTCAGGTATGTGGTGGCTATTTGGGGTGGCAGTTAGTATCATGTGTTCAGCTATCGGCTCATTAAATGGTGTTAGTGTGGTTCGTTAATGATACACTGTATTCTTCTGAGATGCCTGTGTTTGCGTATTTATCCCTGTTGCCGTAAACTGCAGTGAAGGCCCATCTTGCGAAAGTGAGTTGGTGTTTACGCGTTCTGATCTTTTGTCTGTAGCCCTGAGTTCTAGTGTGTCTCGTGGCTACCCGCTCGTGCATATTGCGGTTGTATTTGTTTTGTGTGTTTCGTGTCCTTCCCCTCTACTGGTGATGGTGAAACCTTCTGCGGTAAGTCTGTGTCACCTCTATTGCGTGTTTCCATGGTTATGTCTATGTAGTGTTGCTTTATTCTGGAGCTTCTGTGTGTCTGCCTCTATTGTTGCGTCTTTGTGGTTCCGGTTTGTGTGTCTGAGTCACTGTCTGTGTGTCTTGGTGTCGTCGCGTTGAGGTGGGTTCACCTGTGTGCGTGGATGTGGTGTTGTTCTGTGGGTTTTGGGTTAGATCGCCAAGGTCTGTGTTTGTACTGTGGATGTGTGTGGCTCTCAGATCATATGGTTTCGCAACTCTCGTCTGTTATTATCTGACTGCAGTGGCCGTTTGTTCTATGTCTTGGCTGTCCGTGTGTTTGTAGTGGGTCTTGGTTCAGGTTGTGTAGTTTAAAGTCTTGGCATGTTGTTGCTCGTATGTGTTGTGTGTTTACTTGTGTATGTTCCCGACTGACCTGCTCATTGTCCCGCCTCCTGTTGTCCTTTGGGTGT